GTTTAGCACCACCGTGAACAAATGCGAATTGCGTGAGGCGTGGTGATGCCAGGAGCCGCAGCTGCCCGGTAAGAGAACACCCACCAGTCTCACTCCAGCCAGCCAGCCAGAACTCACCGCAAGCATCAGCGGCGCAACGAGCACCCAGCAGACGAGGAAGTACATGCTGGGCCGGTAGTTGATCATGAATTGGATGTTGTCCGAGAAGCGCTTGACGCCATATATCCACATGATGCCAATCAGCTCGAACACAGCGATCAGCATCACGCAGAGTCCGCCAAACGTGTCCATCAGGTGCAGAACGTACGGGCCCGACTGCCAGCAGCGCACCGCCGTCACAGGGCCGCGCCGAGCAAATGGCCTGGTGCTGGGCTACTCTTAGATGGATCACAGGCCTCATCAGTTATAAGGGCAAAACAATTAACTAGCTTAAGAAGCAGACGCCTGCACATACTTGGACATAGAATCAACGGTCACAACCTTTTTTATTAGTTGTTGCAGAAAACCAGCTGACAACTTCGCCCCATATTATCATCACGTGACCGCACTGGATTCTCTTTCGGGTTATCGACACGTTTAAAATTGTATGCAAGTTTCTTTTCCGCCAGAATCTCTGTCATATAACCAAAAAGCCCAATAATCCATACCAGGAATCCCATCCACATGCTAAAGACTGCTTTTCGCCCAAATATTTTCACAGAAAGATAACAATAGGAACTTCTTCCTCCGTTCTTTCTTCGATATAATCCCATTATGAAGTCTTACCTGAGAGACGCAGGGCAGACCAAGGAGAAAACAGGAACTGGAGGCTACCAACGTGACCAGAGCCTTCCAGTTCCGTGTGGACGGGAACGAGTCGTAGATGGCCGTTGTGACGGTTTCCAGCAAGGCAAACTGCCAAAACGACGCGTTGGTTTTGGGATGTTTTTTTTTGGGGGGGGGGGGCGAGTGGGCATGGTGAAACAGCACAGAGACACGACATAACTGTGTATGGCAATAAATGAACAATGCACAATTCAATGAATGGCATCTGTTGGGAATTCGTGGATGCGTTGCTGCATAACACAGATTGTGTTATGTGCATAACACAGATTGTGTTCTGTGCATAACACAGATTGTGTTCCGTGCATAACACAGATTGTGTTCGGTTTGGTGCTTTTAAAGATCACGACATCGAGTTGTATGTGGGGTGATTAGCCGCTAGCAGCGCCGCAGCTGCAAACTGACAGACAAATATCCTCCCAAACACACCTTCAAAGCGCATTTTATTGCCCAGTTCAAAAGGTGCAATTGCGAAACGCAGCACTAATGGCTGCCTTTCTGTAAGGGAAAGCTTACGAAACAAAGACAGAGTTCAAACGTTATCAGTGACCAGGAAATTCACCATTTCCCTTGGCACTGGGCCAGTCTCCCAGCCAGTGTCCACCCCGTACCGCACTCACCTCCGAGTCCAGGCCGAGGGTGTAGAGCATGACGAAGAACAAGATGGACCAAAGCTGCCAGCCGGGCACGCCGCCTATGGCCTCGGGGAATGCGATAAATGCTAGGCCCTGGCCAGACTTCACCACCTCGTCCACCTTAACGCCGGCCGACTGGGCCATCGAGCCCATGATGCTGAAGATAGCCACGCTGGCGATGATGGATGTGACGAAGTCCAGCGAGGATATCACCATTGAGTCGATGTGCACCTTGTTGTTGAACTTGTTGTACGAGCCGAACATGATCAGGCCGCCCCACGAGACGCTTAGTGAGAAGAACATCTGCTCGGCTGCCTTCTGCCATACCTGCGAGGGGTCACCAGTAGGTCGCAGGTCAGACGATTTGGAAGTCATTCCCATCGGTCACAAATATTCGCAAGATATATGTCGGATACGAATCCATATGGCGAAAGCGGCGAATAGCTTCGCTTATAGTCGTCCAAACGTCCTGCCAGAAGCAAACAGGTTTTTCACCCCCTGGAGCATACTAAAAATTAAGAGCAGTATAAGAGCAACAGTCGCGTAAAACATCAGGACCGCAATTGTAATGAGTTACTTCTGTTATCGTGACCCAGCGTGGCAAAATATCGAACCAGTGCGACAAATTAGGTTATCAGTCTTCCACAAAACTGCCGCCCAGTGGCGGATATTTGCTCCAGCTGCTCACAGTGATGTCCTTGAGCTTCTCCCACTCGGGGATAAAGAAGAACTTGATGCCATCAATGGCCCCCGGCAGGGTGCAGCCGTAGGCCAGAATGGCGATCAAGAAGACGTACGGCGCCGTGGCCGTGACGTACACCACCTGTAGGAACAGACCGCCTCGGTCACAGCCTAGATGCGGAGCAAGCATCAAGAGACGCAGGGCTGGAGAGAAAGAGAATGGGAGGAGAACGGGAGAGGCTGAAAAAGGAAGCCAGGGTAGATAAAGAGAGAGTGAGAAGTAGATCGAGTAGAGAGAGAGTGAGAGTGAAGAGAGACGAGAGAGAGGAGAGAGAGAGAGAGAGAGAGAGAGAGAGAGAGAGGGAGAGAGAGAGAGAGAGAGAGAGAGAGAGAGAGAGAGAGAGAGAGAGAGAGAGAGAGAGAGAGAGAGAGAGAGAGAGAGAGAGAGAGAGAGAGAGAGAGAGAGAGAGAGAAAAAGTCACCTTAAGAAAGTGACCTTTCACAAGTATTTTGGGCATGCCTGTTTTTTTTTTTGGTGTTTTTTGGTCTTCAAAAATATTCAGTTTAATGCAGACAAATGTCCTACAGGCTGTCTGTCACCTTTGGAAGTTATCACCGCTTATGCAGCGTCGCTTAAATCAGCTAGCATAGCTAGGGCATTCTAAGCGGTCCACCCCAACTGAACGCTGATGTCCACTACGAAGCTCTAGCTTACCTTGCCGGAACTCTTGACACCCTTCATGAGGCAGAAGAAGACGATGATCCAGGAGAGGAGCAGGCAGAGCGTCAACTGCCAATTCATGCCCCCGATGTCGCCGGGCGTGTCCAAGCCGTCTCCCAGGCGCAGCACAAAGTGCCTACAGACAGTTCGTTTCAGCGTTCAAATGGAAATGCTCCTGGGTGGCAGCAACACCTTCAGCAAGTCACCACTTCGACAGTTTCTTGGTTTCCAGCATGCACCACATTAAGTGGGCTTCCGGAGACGCTTCTAAAAGTTATGCTTGCCGTCGGTACAGCAGTTTATTGGTTACTGCACGAGCATAGTAGGCAACGCAATGGGAAAGAGCACAGAACCGGTTTCAGTCAAGTTCCGTTGTTTTCTTTGCGTGGTGTTGCGCGGCAAGGCAGACTAATGGTTCCATTCCAAACTCGGGGAATACTTATCTAGGTGCGTAGCAGGCGATGGGATATGCTTACACAAGTGAGAGATATCAGGCGGAGGGGAGCAGATTAGTGATGCGAAAGTGGACCGTGCGCAGCGTGATCTCCACGAGCCCGTCTAGCAGGAAACGGAAGTTTCACACCGCCCGATTGCGATGCCGCCGAATGGAGAAATCCAGACCCCATTCAGGGGGCTGCGCCGCATCCGACGAGCTACTCAACCGCGTGATCACGACTGAAGGCCGTCCTGAATAGACGCAACGCTCGGGTCATGGGAAAGCTTCAAAGCGGAGGGCGCGAAAGCGAAAGCGTCTTCGTGGATCGGACAGCACACTCGGTATGGACTGCCCCGACTCTTAGTTGTGCGGCGGCTTCACGTATGCTGTTGACATGGCACTTAATGTTAGGGTTGCGTTCAAGCACAGACTTGCGATGTGTTCTTGTAGTTCAAACTATATAGATTCAGTATGAGATTATCTTGACCTTTGCGACCGCCAGAGATTGGCCGGAATTCACTCATAACGAACGCTAATGAAGTTGTCATTGACTGAATAAGCAAATTATCCAGCATTATTTGCATTGAAAAGGTTCCGTCTGTCAGCCAATCGCATGGGTGAATGACATTTCGTGTGGGTTGACTAGTTTCATTCTTTACCAAGATCCGATGCGATACAATCCCGATTTCATTATCTTTGCTGTGATTCCTTTCAAATATCTGTCATGGAAACCAAAGCATCGAGCCAACACGTGCATACGAATTTCGCCGTCCAAAGGTAAAACCCCACATGCTAATTTTAGCTATTTGGACTTTTTCCTGCTGCCTGATTCCTCTACTGATCCTGAATTCGGCCTATTCAAACCACCAGTTGAAATTTTGGAAAAGTTTTAGCCATTTTTTAGCCAAAGTTGTGAAAATTTCAACTATTGGTCTAAATATCCGACCTCAGCATCAGAAGACAAATCAGACAACACAAAGACCGCAAAATTCCCACGATAGACATATGGGGTTTTAACTTTTGACAGCAGAATTAAAACGAAGCTTGCTCCTGCCGGACTCCAAAACAGCAATATTCTTACTTTCAGCAATATTGTGAAAGCATTTGCGTTCCAAACAACAGGAGCAGTGCCGATTCAAAAGGTGCATTTGAATTCGGCAATGACTTCCATGCAAACAACCAACTTGTCTGGTTAAATATGTTGCATTGCCATGAACTGATACCTTACAACCCTCCGCCCGGCGAAGAGTTGTTGACCCGCGCCCGGTCAGGGGCAGTTGACCTCTCCTACGGTTTTTAAGCACGGGTAAAAAAAAACGAATGATCGCAGCAGCCTCAAACCTTTCAGTACCTGTTATCTATCAAGTTGACATCGCTTATGCAAATTTGAAGCTTTACTCTACCAACATCAGTGACCTAGGTCAGGATTGCCAAGCATAGTTTTAACTGTAAGAGCTACAGCCTTCAGACCGGAGCGCTCAACAGCGGCGGCTCTCATCGAGATATTTGGGACCTATTTAAAAACAATTCCCGATTTCTTTCACCGACATTCGCAGAAAGCTGCCGCATCCTGCTTGATGTGTGTGTCTGCTGTGGCTTGCTCTTGACGCAGTTATGATTTTGCAGCGTTTTTGACGTTTGCTCGAGTCGTGCGTGAGGAGATCATGCTAGTGGTACTTTCATTATGGCTGTGTCTTCGTTCATAACATTGTGACCGAAAACAAAATACAAAGTGTCGATGCTCCGATCGTTCAGAATTTGTTGTATCTAGAACTTTTTATTCCTAATCGTCTATTGGCTCTGTCCACATACGACTAAAGGAAGATTTTGATAGGTTGAATTCTTAAACCGAGGGTGAACTGCAAGGGTTGGGGATCTCAACAGCGTGTCCAAGAATGCGTCAATGTTCGCCTCGTGCTCATGGAAGACGCCACTGGAGGAACGCCACATGAAATTGGGAGGGAGGGGGGGGGGGGGCAAAGGGATCCGATAGTAGTCTTAAAATCGAAGATCATGTGTATGGGTGTAGTAGAAAAGGATAAGTCTAACAGACCCTCTTGTCCATCATCAAGCGGTGGTGGTGATCGTGCTTGCTTTGCCTGCCGCGAACTCACTTGAAATATTGTTCCGCCGCTAGCTCCGTCTTGTTGTGGCAGTCGACGCCCTCCGTGAAGTTTGTGATGTTTCTGGACTCGAGGAACTTGCAGGCCGGGAAGGTCACGTTTCGAACGAAACAGTTGTCGTCCGCAAACGACTCTGGAAGCCAGTCCAGCTCCGTGTAAATGCCGTAAAAGGGTAAACACATTCAGGGTGTCCTGAACGCCAGTCGTTCGTTGCCGCAGTGGCAAAGCGGTGTCAATCGTCGCATGCAATGTAGCCAAGATGTTGTCAGAAAGCTCCGGGAAATCTTTGAGGCGACAAATCTTTAGCTACAACTTAAATAACAGGGGAAGTGTGCTGGTTTTGTCCGCTGCAGAATATTTAACTCATCACTTACCGTGACAGTCAGACCAAGGAGCGGAGCCACCTTGGAACGAGGCAAACGTGAAGAATAAGGTGTAGGCCATGATGACATTGTAGTAGATGGCCACGATCAGCGATACCACCACCATTGCCGCACCAACGCCTGTGAGGGTGAAAACAAGCCATCAAAATGGGCATAACGTAAAGAGTAATAAATAGCAAATGCACACAGATTTAGAACCATGGTGACCGGAAAGCCTCTCAGGTATTTTTCAGGCATTATATGTTTCCGAGTAATGTAAGACTGTAGCTAAAGCTAATTAACGCAGCAATAGCTAAGCATCGTAGTCATACCTAAGTAACGTAGCCATAGCTACGTTACCGTAGTCATAGCTTACCAGCAGCGTAGCCAAGTAACGAAGGCACATAAACGTTGGTCAGTGCGGGATAAATGACCAACGTCAACTCCAGGTCGACCGAAGGCGAGATGGTGCTACCAAACTCATTATGTTACCACGCTGAAGTTCTCAAAATGGAGGTAAACATCACATGCGGGCCTTTTTTAGCAGCGATTTTAAGTAACTAAGAAATCCTTTTAATAACGGCTGTCTGGCACAGGCGATTTAATGCCCACAGCCTATTACCTACCTTAAGTCATTAAATCCATGTGCCGCAATAGCTCCATTTTTCATAGCGCCAATACAAAATATATCCCTCCTTTCACGACCCTGAAAGCAGACTACACGCTGCCAACAAAAGCTGTTTAGATGCGATCACAACTCACCGTAAGCAGCCAAACCTTTCGCTCACCTTTCTTGTGGCTGCTCGACTACGTGCACTTGCCTTTCATGATGGGTGCCATGCTCCACATGGACATGGGTCCCAGCTGGCTATATTGGCCGATTGCTGTCTCCATCAGGTACATCGGCTTTCCCACCAGGACCAAGATGATGATGTAGGGTATCAGGAAGGCACCTGTCGCACCAAAGAACACGTGCGTATATTGGTTTGTCTCTTATCTTTGCCTGGTTTTGGGACAGCACTACTTCTACTCAAAGTGATTTCCATTTAGTCTTCTAACGTAGGTTGCTATATTAATAAGCAATGCCCAGACATGCCTTGGCCACATCCTTGAACACACATTATCGCTTGGTAACGTTGCATATGGAACTTTCTGCAAGCATACCCCAAAATACAATATTTGGGCACGTTTGACACGCAAGGGCAGCATTTTAAAAACGTTGGCCAGTACATTCTTCTTCAGGTCATTGAACTTGGTTCAAAATGTTTATCGGCACTACAGCTTAAGAGCAGCTCCAGGAAAGTGTAGCTGAGATTAAAACACTGCAGCACAGAGAGCTTCAGCTGATCTCATCAGGTATCTACGTCTCCAGTGATGTATTAATGCGTCACCACAACGTACAGCCGCCTTAGAGCACGGTCCGGCGTCACGCCCCGCCCCAAACCGTGGCGTCCGGCCACGCCCCCAAACCGTGGCGTCACAGCCCGCCCCAAACCGTGGCGTCACGACCCGCCCCAAAACCGTGGCGTCACGACCCGCCCCCAAACCGTGGCGTCACGACCCGCCCCAAACCGTGGCGTCACGGCCTGCCCCAAACCGTAGCGTCACGGCCCGCCCCAAACCGTTGGCGTCACAGCCCGCCCCAAACCGTAGCGTCACAACCCGCCCCAAACCCGTGGCGTCACGCTCCGCCCCAAAACCGTAGTTGTCACGGCCCGCCCCAAACCGATCCGGCGTCACAACCCCCGCCCCAAACCGTGGCGTCCACACACCCCGCCCCAAACCGTAGCTTCATGGCCCGCCCCAAACCGTAGCGTCACGGCCTGTCCCAAACCGCAGCGTTCACGGCCTGCCCCAAAACCGTAGCGTCACGGGCCCGCCCCAAACCGTAGCTTCACGATCCGCCCCAAACCGGAGCTTCACGGCCCGCCCCAAACCGTAGCTTCATGGCCCGCCCCAAACCGTAGCGTCACGGCCTGCCCCAAACCGTAGCGTCACGGCCCGCCCCAAACCGCAGCCCCAAACCGTGGCTCTCGCGGACCACGCCAGAGACTCACCGCCGCCGTTCTCGTAGGCGAGGTAGGGGAAGCGCCAGACGTTGCCGATACCGACCGAGAGGCCGACGCAGGAGAAGACAAACTCCCACTTGGAGCCCCACTGGCCGCGGTCGTGCTCTTCCGGCTCTATCTCCGGAGCCACCTCCACCGGCTCCAGCGAACGCTGCGGGATGAGAGGAGTCGGTTGCATGGGCCGAAGCGAGCGGTGCGACTCGTGGGAGCATGACGGTCAAAATGCTGCTTGTTGGCAAGCGCTATGAAACGCGTAGGTCCTCAAAAGAGAGGTCTGTTTTTCGGTTCTGGCGCCGCTTCATGGAATGCATCCATGTTTGATTGGTTTTAATTTGTCATACATTCATTTTTAAGTAATAAGGATTCAACGTGGATGCAATGGTTACATTGCATGTATTTCATGGCTTACGCGTTTCAATACCTTTTCAATATTGCGGCCGAACCACAGGTACTACTTATGTGCGTCACTGGCTACGAAGAAGGCTGCGACAGCAGCGTGCAGGTGCCGCTTCTAACTTGTTTTGCTGTGTGATACTCGCTCGATGCATTTGATTTCGATGTGAGCGGAAGCAAAAACCAGTCCAAAGCGGACTAATGGCCTGTAGTCAATAAAAAAATTGACACATGGATGACACCGAACAATGCGTTCGAACCTAATGCCTTTGGCTAAAAACGCGGCACAAATACTAGGCCAATCAAGAAATCGGAAGTGTCCATGGTAACCTAACCACAACGCGCAGGAGACCACGCTAAGAGGTTGAGTGTCTTATCTAATCTGCAAGTTGGCCAGATGTTTCGCTACTCGGATCAAAAGCTGCTGGATAGGGTTCTGGGTGGGGAGAATTCGGGCGTTCCTTTACAGCGAACTCTTATAGATGTGGCATTGTATGTCGCTGACGCCTATAGGGTCGGTGAGAATGTTTCCTCCTGTTATCTCCCCTGCCCTGCGAGGTACCCCATGATGTTGACACTGAATTATCAGTGATGCAAAGTTCAGCAGGTAGTCAGGGGCGTCACTCTGTATACCTTCGGGGGTCTTGAGCCCTCCCCCATGCTGACTTGAGCTCCCCCGCAATGCTCTTCTGAGCCCCATCAATGCATATGAGCAAAGAGAAAATACTCGGCCGAATAAATAAAGAAAAGCTATCTCAGCTATTTTAAACTTAATAACAGGCACCTGAAAACATCGATATTAGTGTCGTGTTAATTTTGTACCTAGTAGCATTCTGTATGACCTATTTTGTTGCCATGCCAGCTCCTTCACATCTCAAGCCAGTCTGCAAATTTTTAACAGGTTCTTCAAATGTTAACACCTGGATTAGGACAAAGAACAGTGGTCTGTAATGTGCGGCAGCATTGAAAGTATAGAGTGGCTCAGCATGGCTGTGGTGTCATGCAACACGATCAGTGGCTGCGGCAGTCATCTAGTCATCTATAGCCCCGTACTAAGATCTAGTAAAATGCGTTTTCCGCTAACTACTCCCCATTGCAAGCTTTTTACACAAAGGCAACTCACATTTACTTGGAATAGGAAGCGATTCCTCCGCCGGATGGACCCACAGAACATTTAAAACCTTTTTCCCGTGTTGTAATGTCCAGCACGCATGTTCAGGTGACAGAAATCCAGAAAAAAATCCGGCTGGGGGTAGGTTAGGTCAATCTTTTCTGCTGAGCTGTCCTCCCTTCCCCTCCCCCCCCCCCCCTACCGTCTTTAGAAAGTGTTATCCCGGCAGGTAGTGCTTTGTTGTACATGCAGGAACAGGGTGTTTGATGTGTGAGCGCGCTGAAAACCAAACAATGACAACTATCTAAGAAGCGGTCGCCAAGCACTTCAAGAACCGTGCCGACAATCATCACTAATGAGGAAATCGCCACTGCTGAGGCCAAGCCGAGCCGACACAGGAAGCTCTGTCCTCCATCGGCCACCCTCAGCTGGACGTCGTTGACCCACAACCGAAACTAATGACCGTGATGTCGCAAGTCTTGGCCACGACCAGCGCACGCCAGTCGTGTGCGCGGCTTTCGCGGTGACGATGCCTGAAGCGTCGTCAAGCTGCCTGTCATGGCCGTGGCTGGCGCAGCCGCGGAAGTTCCGACGCGTTCCGACGTCGTCATGGCAACAGGCAATGCACTGAACGTGCTGAACGCAGCATGCCGGGCAAAATCGTGACGTGGTGTTAGAGCGCAGGATGGGACTGTAAAGATCACGCTTTTACCAGCGATGTCGTGATAAAGGCTTGGGAACAGTCCGTGATGTCCATACAAGTGTATGACACTGTCGTGCTGTGTTGGTGGCCTGAACATCATTGGTTTGAAGAAGTTCCTGGATCATTGGTGCTGTTGAGCCAAAGTGGGCTGCGTGGCAAATGCGTTGATGTGCAGAAATGTAGTAATGCCTAGTGATATCAAAAGTACTTTGATGTCAAAGAAAGGGGCATGTTAAAGTCCCCAATCCTATAACTTAAAGTTCATAAATCCCGGCATGTTAAGGTCATTAGTCATGTTATGTTGGGGTTATCAATCCTGTAATCTTGAAGTCACTAACTCTGTTCCAGAACTCATATGCATTTAAACCACTCATTGTCAACGGCCCGGGCGGCAAAGTGATTGCTCATAAATACGGCTGGATTTCAAGAATTGTCTAATAACATCATCTACTGGGGGCTTTTTGCGCATCACTGCAGTGAAAATGAACAGTTCTGCCTATCCAGCATCGGCATTCGTTGTCGCAAATCCAGTGTGCGTTTTCACAGCGTGGACATTGCATCACGCCATGTCTCGACATCATCAGCGCAATGTTGCCATTCAAATAATAGAGATGTCCAGCGATGAGCGTGTACGAGCATGCAGCATTGCCACGCCGACAGGTGTGCAAATGCACGCGACGTGGTAAACGCTCCTGTAAACACACATACAGACCATTGTTCAATCCTGCACACAGCATGGGGTCACGGACTTGAAGTCTCACCTTCCCGAGTTTGTCGCCGTTGGCGTAGGCTGGGACATAGTTGTTCTTCCAGGACGAGCCCGGCACAGCATGGCCGTTTTTGTCGGACATGTTGCCACTGAGGTTCGGCGGCGTCGGTTCACTGCTCTTCCGGTAGCTCACGAACTGCGCCGGGTCCTGCGGACGGCGGCAGCAGGTGACGATGATGCTCCTGCCGCAGTTACATGTTGAAGGCAGGGGGAAGTTTGAGGCCTTCGCGGGTCGAGTTAAACCATGCGTATGAACCGAACATTGCACAGCATCAGGGTTGTAGTATAATTGAATAGAACTGAGCTGGACACATACTGCCATGGTGGATGGAGATATGCTATCAGCGAGCGCTGAATGCGTGCGCTGTGTTTTATATTTTTGAGTGGTTGAGGTGATCAAAAATGACCTCTTATTTTGTAGCTCCCAGGACGAGTAGGCTCATGATTCTAAAGTAAGGTTCCAAATTTGTCACGTCCTTGCCAGCCATCGATATGTGGATGTTACGGTATATTGCATATATACATACGAAGGAAACGTGCGTAAGGCATCTGGAAACCCCAGTAGCTGACACATACACACACACACACACACACACACACACACACACACACCACACACACACAGACACACACACACACACACACACACACACACACACACACACACACACACACACACACACACACACACACACACACACACACACATACACACACACACACACACACACACACACACACACACACACACACACACACACACACACACACGCACACACACACACACACCACACACACACACACACACACACACACACACACACACACACACACACACACACACACACACACACACACACACACACACACACACACCGAATGGCACAAAAGACAGTTAAAATCAATCTCTACACATCACGCACAGCTGATATGTTGCAATGGTTAGGCATCGCTTCAGCAGTAACGTCACAGACAAAAAGGCTGCTAAAATAAATGTACCAACGACGTGTAACCTTCTTGGAGTCTTTTATCGAGTCATTCCTAAAACCGTTTTCACCATTTGAGTGCAAAATGAAAACTTCCGAAGGAAAACTATATCGAATTAAAGAAGAAACAGTCTGCAGCATCTTCGAACTCAAAATGGGTTTTGAATAAACCCGTTTACTTAAAAAAGTGCAAACTGGGAGCAGATGCATTGTGTTACAAGCAGCTTATTTCAACCCTTGCCCTGACAGAGGGGGTCGATGCAGCCCCCCCCCTCCCGCTCAGGCTTTCTAAAGATAGCTCCCCAGCATGTCATGCAATCGCGCCCACATTTTCCATAGTCTATAGGGCATCCATTGCTCGTGTTTGGACACGGAACACGTGACCCTAGCTATTCTGGTTTCGGAGCAGCGGCAGTTTTTAGGAACACTGCACGGTGATCAACGGCCGTCGCAGGCGGTGGCCGACAGCCGACGATGCCGCGGGACGCGCGCGACTTGCCGACATTTTTTGGTAACGGAGCCATACACCATAACTGTATGGTGAACACATTTAAAAGGTATACTGTTGTACTCAAAATCAAACAAGAAACGTAACTATATAGGTTACGTGTCGCTACGTGGCACTTTCGCACATAATAAGCATAAAACTTAAAACTTTTAATGTTCAGGAGAATTTGACCTTTGGCTGGATGCAATTGGGTCAATTCTGATTTACCAAAAACCCGAAACATATTACCAATCGCAAGATCTTGTAGAGACCAACCCACTGGTGCTTTCTGCTAAGCTCTATCTTTCTTAGTTTGGAAACGACAGGGGGGTGGCATCGACCCCGTACCAGTCCCTGCCATGAGCAATGACAAATCAGGGCGAATTAAAAACACCTATGAGTCTTGCAAGCTTGAGAACCCAACAAAAAACGAGAGATATTTGTTTATAAAACATTAATTGCCCACAAGCCGAGGAGAGGTTTGCATTAAGAAATGAAAAGCGAAGCCTTTGCACACAAATAAGTTTTAGCTCACGGGACGCTTAACGGCCGAATAGTTTGACCATGAAGTCCTCATGAATTCTCATCATAAAAATAGGGGTGCGAATGCCTGCCAGTAAAATGAAAGTCTCAAATATGCCGTCACCGCCGTTCGCTGGGCGCTGGAAATAAGCAAGGCGGTGTCGAGACTGCACGCGAGAACAGAGAACGAACCTTGACATGCTTTAATGGTGCAAAGGGCACTAACACTGCGAAACTGCGAGGCCCGGCGGCGTAGACATTCACTTTATGGTCGGGTTACGGTTACATTAAGGTAGTTGATGTTGCAAACAGTATATGCCTTTTACATAGCTTGAATTTTTCAAATACCCCATTAATGCGGCTTCAAACTTGCGATGAGATATCGCGCGCTTCGTAACAAATAGGCCATAGGTTTGCTGAGGGGCATTCTTCGCAGTTGACTTCGAGCTCGATTGCCTCCTCGTGCTGTTGATCAGCCCAAGCTCAATCCTCTTAGGAACAAAAGCTATGGCACTGAGCGCAGCTCTAAGAGACGTGATGCCTTACGTTCCGCTGTTGGAAGGCCTTTTTAGAGACCGTCTATGACAACGCAGCATGAACAGTGCACATTACCAAACATTTTGGTTACTGGCCATTTATCGATACATCTGTCAGATTTGACTACTGGAGTCGGAATAACAGACACCTGAAAACAACCATAAGCGTGTTTCAACGAACACCTCACAACTTCAGATTGCGTGGCATCTGCCGGGAAGGGCGGAGCAGGCACAGAAAGAGAGTAAAACAAGATCGGGATCTGGTCCCAGGCATTATTTCCCTCAGTCAAGTTGGCTGCGGACCAACACCTCTGCATCTCCTCCTGCGTTGCGTCACAGCCCATCCCAGTGACGTCAGCTGGCGAACGGAGCTGAACTGTTTTGACGAACGTTCCACGGCCTTGAACGCCGTCTGCTCTCGAGTCCCGACCTTGCGTGACCTTGCGGCCGCCAGTCGGCGGCTGCTGATCCAGCCTGGGTGTAAAGCACCGCCGGCTGACCCAAACAGCGCGGCAGTTAACACTGCGCTATAATCAGTCGTCTCTCGCAAATGCCGCCTCGGACGCAACATCAACAAGGCACTGATTAAACCGCAACGCTCCGATATAACGCCTCTTGTTTTTACTTCACGCCCACACCGTCGATGACAAAGACCGGTGTGCGAGGGGAGCCATTCTCGTCCGTAGTCGCTCGCCCGGTCGGGACGGTAGACCCTCGCGTTTTTCAGTGACTCAGGGAGTCGCTTCGCTGCGTCGCTGCTTGGTGAGTCAGCGAGAGTCGGCGCCGTTCCGGGCGGCCGCGCGGCGACCGTGACGGCATCTCGCACGCGGCCAGGCAGGTGTCAGGCGTGACCGCGCCACCCGCCACCGGGGCGCTGCTGTCAGAGGTGGCAACTGGTCAAAGCTGGCAGCTGGTCAGAGGTGGCAGGTGGTCAGAGAGGGCAGCTGGTCAGAGGGGCAGCTGGTCAGAGGGGCAGCTGGTCAGAGGTAGCAGCTGGTCGGAGCGGGCAGCTGGTCAGAGATGACAGCTGGTCAGAAGGGGCAGCTGGTCAGAGGTGACAGCTGGTTAGAGCGGAAAGCTGGTCAGAACGGGCAGCTGGTCAGAGGGGACAGCTGGTCAGAGGGGACAGCTGGTAAGAGGTGGCATCTGACCAGAGGTGGCAGCTGGCCAGAGATGACAGCTGGTCAGAGGTAACATCTAGTCAGAGACGGCAGCTGATCAGAGGGGGCAGCCAGTTAGAGGGAGCAGCTGGCCAGAGTCGACAGCTGGTCGGGGTGGCAGCTGATCAGAGGGGACAGCCGGTTAGAGGCGGCAGCTGGTCATGGAGACGGCCGTCCGGTAAGAGGTGAGTCAGAGATGGTTTGGACACAGCCCTGCCCTGTCCTCCCGCTACATCGAGCGGACCCATATGCCTGAACTATTCTCCCACATCCAAACATGTCTCAGCTGCTTTAAAAGGGGCTGACCTTATGAGCCATAGCTGCCTCTCCTCGCTCCGCATCCCATTTCCCTCTCGTCTGGCGAAGATCGTTTGACCCTGAAGCGGCAGCGCACCTCCGACACTCAGTGTGGGAGACTCGACGGCCGACCTCAGCGGCACGCTACACGGGAGTGTTGCTGTGGTCTCACAGCCGGCGGTACACGCCGCGTCCGCATGAGAGGCATCTCCACCGGCCCGAGGCTCAGCGGTCGTGCTCGGGCGCCGTGCATGCATAATTCAGCACTGTGACCATGTCTACAAGCGGTGCGGGCCTCACGAGCTGAACTCGTGTCGGGCTCAGGTCGCCGCGACCATAAAATTGCGCCGCCTCGCCGCGCTCGCTGCCCGTGCAGACTCCGCCTGAGGGAGCATGGCCGCCTGAGGGGGCGTTCCCGTCTGAGGGAGTGTGGCCGCCTGAGGGCGCGTTCCCGTCTGAGGGAGTGTGGCCGCCTGAGATGGTCGCGTTTTCAGATGCGCACTCCCCGGGTCCGGCGCGGCGTCCAGGCAATGCCCCGGCGAGACCGCTGTAACGGTGCCGCTCCACGCCTCTGAGGTGACCTCCCGTAACGAGCTCGTCCTCGCCGTGAGGGTGGCGTCATTGGGTTGCGACGTATCAGAGGTGGGGGCTATACAGGTAGCCTACAATAGAGGGGGCCTCTTCCACCTTGCCCTTTTACATGCGACCCTCGCGGGTAAGAACGCGGGCTGGTCAAGACACAGACCTCGCCGCGCTTCATGTCCTCGGGCGCACCGCAGGAGCTGGAACATTTCACTTGCACTCACAAGCGGGCTGTGGCGACAGTGGCACACCGGTTTGCCTGAGGAGGCGGCCGCCCACATGTTGCAAAATGGCTGTGATTGCATCTCGCGCATCTCATCACCAGTGACAAGTACCATTCTGGCGTTATCGGAATAAATACTTCTGCATGAGCTCCCTTTAACATCACAGGCTATGCCGGCATTCAATGCAGAATATGTGAGATGAAGAGGCAGAAGTGATCCGGTTTGTGCAACTACCGTAAACTCACGCTGACACTGAATATGCAATGCATTGCATTGTGCCGGACTGCTCAGCTATGCGATTATATATGATCACGACAGACACGACGCAAAACATTGCAAATAATTCAAGTCATGATTAAACCTATGCTATTGCCAGCTATTCAGGATATTCCGTTGGCTGATTTGCTTCGTGAAAGAAGAGCCATTATTCTGTCTTGGGTAGAGGACAATGGCGATCGTCCTAGAGCCTGCCAGGTAAATGATCTTATTAATACGTAATGCATATGCCTCTGTATAAAGGTGGTATTTACATCAATCTCGTATGCTCCAGAAACGAATGTGATGTTGTTCTGAGAGCAAAAGCTGCTGTGAAACAGAATGAGAAGTATCAACGTATAACACGGAGGAATTGTATGACATAATCTGCAATATAACCTTTTCAAATATTCTGGCAATGGTGATCTTACCGTGTTTGAGACACGATAAATGAAGCAAAGTTATTGTTTTATTTGTCTTTCATTTTTGTTGATGCTTAGAGATTCCATTTACAATTTTAGGCTCACGCAACTTACGGTTTTCAATAATAGTTTCAGCAATACAAGGTCGTCGAGTTTGCGCGGATGACGCTGCTTTAACCGGCTAGTGACCGTCACTGATAAGTCGCACCGATCAATGTCGCTAGGTTACAGCCGTCAAATCACTGCTGTCACGGGTCCCTATCCGATCAATCATCCTCGGCCCCGAACAGGGCGGCCGGGTTGGGTCAAGGCCCGCCGGACCAGCCCACAAAAAAACTCACTCACACTGACATCGTAGCTGAAGGAGGGCATCGCGCCGCCCGGAGCCACCACGCCGCGAAGGCCACTGGAGCGGTGCCGCGTACCGGCCGACCCCGACCACACCGCGCCGCCACACTGGCGAGCCCGACACTCTGCCACCGACACCTGCGCGCCGCTCCCTCCCCCCTCTGCCCTCGCCCCTCTCCTCTGCCCTACGTAGTGCGCAGGCTGGCAGACCCAGCTGGAGGGCGGGGCGACGCTGCTGCCGCTGCGCGGACACGCGCGAAACTACAGCGAAGGAGCTTTGAGAGGGTGAGCGAATGGAACAACGCGTCACTCTGAATGTTTTCTGGCGTCTTTTTAGGACGGGTGGATTGAAATGGATTTAGAAGAGGCTGGTCGTACATATAAGAAGCCAGGCGGTCAACAGTGCCCGGGTAAAGGCACTTTTTAGTCATGAGCCAAGCTGAGCTAGCTCTCTTGTGTCAACAAAGTACATTACGTGCTTGCCTTTCAAGTTCGTTGTTTATCCGTTTGTTGTGTCCATCCTATTTAACTTCGCCCAATGCATCCATCAAATAGCGAACTATGTACCATTGACTAGCATGTGCCGAAACCAAGTAATCGTCAGAAACGACGACTTGAATGATTCTCACTTTGATGTCTCTTCTTTTTGCCACTGGCGACATGCAAGGGTTTCATTCTGCGCCAAACAGTGCATTCTTCGTTTAAAAGTGTGTTTCTAGGCCGAGATAAATGCATTGATTGCTAAGTGTGTTTGTGTGTGGAAAGTGACCGACCTTTTTGAGACTACATTCCTGGATAATCGTTGGGATCTTTTCCCTTAAAAATGGGCTGATCGTCGCACCATGCGAGGCTCGCATTCTGCGCAGCCTCTCACTAAGCATTGGTGACTTCGGTAGCCTCGGCACCGACCCGACCCGTGTGAAGCTAAGAGTAACCAGACGGGGCGGCGGTAGCCAGAGACGCCGCCAGTTGTGGTGGGTGTCTGCCCTGGGAGCGTGACGCAGCCCCCCCCCCCTCCCCCTCGCCGGGAGGGGTCGGGTGTCGTCCACCCCTGCGCACGGTCCGTGACGGGCCGCCCCAGGAAGTGACTCATAGGCGCATCACACGAAGACACCGGCAGCTGGACCTCGTCTCGGATGGGGGCACAAGAGAGAGAGGAGTAGAGGAGGGAGGGGAGGGAGGGATGTCCACGTGTCCAAGTACAGAACAGCATCCGAGCTCAGAGTATCGCAAAGTAGCTATATATGGGCTGCGATCATATATAAGCACGAGAACAGACCGCAGAAAAGGATTCAAAAGGCTTCTTCAACCGCAACCCATGGGAATGCTCCTCTGGTGACCATCCAGCACTGAGCCATGTTACCAAGCCTGGCTAAAGCCTGCGCGTGGCCGGTATCACGAAACGCTGGGTCATTTGCTGAACATTCGGAAGAACGACCCCTCCTTACCTTGCAAACCACCTCGATCAGCCTTAACCAGCTTCAACTCGAACGGACAAGGACAGCAGATTGTTTCGCCGCACTAATCTGATCACTTCGAGTTTCTCCGAACTACTCACCGCGAAAGCCCGACGCGGCTCACAATCCTTGGAAGCGGCGTACGTACCCCCCAATACCCCGCCAGGGGCCGCTTTGCAATCTGGAATGTACTGGGTAGCCTTACCTGGGATGAAAATTACCACGCGTAGTTTTCTGAGGAAGCGGCCTGTCCTTTTACGGCTTTAGCACAGCGGAGCACGGCTCTGGTACTGTAGAGCACGGCTCTGATACGGTAGAGCACGGCTCTTGTACGGTAGAGCACGGCTCCGTTACGACGGAGCACGATTCTGGTATGGCGGAGCACGGTTCTGGTACGGCGGAGCACGGCTCTGTTACGGCGAAGCACCGCTGTATTACGGCGGAGCACGGTTCTGGCACGGCGGAGCACGGCTCTGTTACTGCGAAGCACCGCCTTATTACAGTGAAGCACGGCTCTGGCACGGTAGAGCACGGCGTTGTTACGGCAGAGCACGGCTCTGTTCCGGCGGAGCACGACTTTTGTACGGCGGAGTACGGCTCTGGTACGGTGGAGCACGGCAGCACGGCACCAGCACCTTTGCATCCGACTCACGTGTGTTTAACCGCAGCATGAAGGTCGTGCGTCTGCTTGGTTGTGGCTCAGCGGCGTGTGACAGCGTCTAGCATAGGCGCACACAGGAATGCGAAAGGGCAGGCGCTAGGTGGGGGCGAGGTCACGCGTCGTGGCTTTGCCAGAAATGCGGTACCAATTTTGCTTAGGTGGATAAGCGCGAAGCGACGTTGTCTGAGATCATGTTGAGTGTGCGCCATAAAACATGACTCGAAATCTGCGTCTGGTTTCTGCGATACGGACGCGTGATACGTATAACGTTTTACCTACCTACAAGCCTCTTTTTTCGAAGTGGACGCGTTGCCTCAAACGATGTCGTCTTCGCACAGAACAAGGCTACGTAGTGACTTCAAAGAGGCGAATGACGGTGTGGGCGCAAAGGGGAACAATGTCGATTGTTTACGCTGCGCCTCAAGCGAGTGCGCTGTAGTACACCTCGTCGGCGTGCGCGGGACCGCCCGTGCACGCGCCTCGCCGGCCGCGATACGCATGACTCCCCAAGCGCCCCCGAATTAGTGCCACTCATACCTGACGAGGAGGAAGTGAGCGCTGCGCACAAACATCCCCAGGGGCTCGGCAGGGGCGCCGACCGTCGAGGGGTCTCGACAGGGACCAGACCGCCAGCAGAGCGCGTCTCCGCCCCGGGAGAGGGGCTCTGGCTCGCCGGCGCCACGGGAGAGGCCTCCAGCGGTGGTGCGGCCCGCCACAAGGCCGTGCTCCGACCTCAGCTGACGTGAGGGGCCGCGCTTCCCCAGTCGGTGAGGCTCGCGGGCGATCGGCGCTCTCGTCGGCGCTCAGGGCTGGGCGGGGGCGCTGTTGACCTCTTCTTCCACATGAAACAGCCGCTGCTTCTTGTGGACCCGGAGATGAGGTTTTAATTAACAGCACAGGAATCTGGATAAGGGGTTGTAATCTGCAGCAAGCATGAGTGGGATTGTGCATCACTGACATTTTGCCCCGATATTTTGTGGAGGTGACCTAACACTGATTATCACCAGTGTGTTTGCTTCATAATAGAAGTGTGTGTACCGTGGATGGCATTCCCATCATAAGCTCCCTGCACAAGCCTAGGCATGTTTGTGGAAATTTTTATAGATAGACATTTTTCCGTTTTTCCATTTAATGCACGTCTGTATGTCAGCACCAAGAGGCTGTCCATACCCTCCGCAACTATTTAGAAGCTCACAGATTTTAACCATCTTGCACCAAGCAGACGAGCGCCTATTTCAAGATCACAAATGTCCTATTGTTACAGACTGTTTTATCTGCCATTACTGCCATCACACCCGATTAGTAACTAGCAGCAAGAGAGCGGACGTAGTCACAGTCGCCGGTATACACTACGGCCCCAGCCTTGCAGTCATGGCAGCGTGACACTACGACAATGCACTTGAAGGGGACGGCTGCCCAGCACCATCACACCCGATGATTCAGCATGGACAGGGAAATCGTCACACAACGACGTGTGGTTTGTATGGGCCTTGGGCTCCGAAGAATATGGCGACAAAGAGGTGCCAAGGGAGCGCGGCGCATCGCAGGTTTGTTTTTGCTCCTGATAAGAACCACTGATCCATGATGAAATGTTTGCTGATGACGTTGTCATGCGATTCACCAAGCTGACCTTTGAGTGGTGACCTTCTTGCGCTAAATCTGCCAGAGATTTGAGGCGAAAAAGAAACCATTGGACACGATGTAGATGTCCTTAGGCTGTATTATGTTGTATCATGGCTGTGCCTGCGCAGGCATCAATGCCTTTGTTCATTTTCGTTCGCTGGAACATAACCTAAAGCAACTGACAGCAAACCAAATATTTGCTGTGGTTTGTTTCTTTTTGTTTTGTACTGCAAGAATTCGTTATGAGCACGTTGTGTAAGATGAAGGCCTCAACCAAGGGCCAGGAGCTGAGCCGCAAGTCGCCGACAGCTTGAGGGTTTGAGACCCTCAGACTGCATATAAGCTGTATGCACTCCAGGCTGCACGGCAATGCTAATAAGCTGCTTCCATAGCTGGCGTGCTGCCATGTGGCTTAAAGCGCAGGATGTCATAAAAGCAGCAAACAAGCGCCGTCAAGTTTTCTCACCTCGAGCGCATATTTTCCGCACGGTTGCAAATGGTGTAAAGCTTTGTCGTTCCAAGTTGCGCCCAAGGCACGGCATCAGCAGATGGAATGCCGGCTCGGTGATCAGTTCAGTTCATATGCCGGAAGGCAACGCACAAAAATGCATCCTACTGAGCAGCGGTCATTGCCGGATGACACGTGTCCGCAATGGCACATGACACAACGTGTCTCCACCGGATGACACGTTGTCCGCAGTCCTAAATCCCTTGTATTGGCGTTCCTGATTATGTTCAAGCACGCCCTCATTACCTGAACAATGTCTCACTCCGAGTGAGTGTAGCGTAACCATATGTACCATCTAGCTAGGGGTGGGTCCAGGAGGAGGCGAGGGGGGGGGGAGCATGGCCCATGCCCATCGCGGAGTCCCTATGAGGCTTTGATAGTGATGCCAGAAGATGTTGTCAAACAAGTCCCAAAACCTTCAGTCCGGGACCAAACCTTCAGTTGAGCCCCAAAACCTTCAGTCCGGGACCAAAACCTTCAGTTGAGCCCCAAAACCTTCAGTCCGGAACCAAAACCTTCAGTTGAGCCCCAAAACCTTCAGGCCGGGACCACATGATCTTCACGTTCAAAAAGCATGAAATGCCAGGGGCATCACAAATGGCCCTAGATCTTCACTTTCAAAATTAAGCGAGTTCCAGTGGCATCATAATGTCCATGACGCGTCCCTCGATAAAATCCTGGATCGGCCCGTTCAGTGAAGGGACACTAAAAATCTCACATTCGGTCCAACATCATCTTAATTTTTCAGAGCCACCCACTTCCAGAGGACACCACGAACGGCCCCGAAACTTTCAATCTAGGGTGACGACAAATTCCAAGGGCCAGATTCCAATAGCGTCATCATCAGGGG